CTTCCTCTGGAGTAAAAACCCCGTGTCATTGTTTGCCTGGAGGCTGGAATGTGGACTATGGAAGTGCCCTTACCCTGGATTTGTTAGACGAGCATTTTATTTTATTTTATTTTGAGGAAGATTAGCCCCGAGCTAACTGCTGCCAATCCTCCTCTTTTTGCTGAGGAAGCCTGGCCCTAAGCTAACATCCGTGCCAATCTTCCTCTACTTTATATGTGGGATGCCTACCACAGCATGGTGTGCCAAGTGGTGCCATGTCCATACCCAGGATCCGAACTGGGGAACCCTGGGCTGCTGAGAAGCGGAACATGAGAACTTAACCGCTGCGCCACCGGGCCTGCCCCCTAGAGGAGCATTTTAAAAAATAACTCAAGTAGAAGTCAAGGAGACCCGCCTCCCTGTCTCTATCGTCCTAAAACCAACCGCGGTGCTTCCACTTCGTAAAACGCAGGCTGTCCCCTTTCCCTCGAGTGGACATGGGACAGGTTGCTTCAGAATCTCCAGCCTGGAGACCCGATGAGATGACCAGACACTGTCTGGAGGTGGTGGCGAATTCTTCCAGCCTGACTACTCACCAAGCAGAAGTAAACTACCCTGTAATTACCTATTATAATTTTTCTATTTTCAAGGTAAGTGGAAGGACTAGTAACCCAGTATACAGCTACCAGTTGTAGCCCCTGCCCTCCCCCACTATCACAGCCCTGCCTCTGCATGTCTGACACAGGCCTGGTTCCTTACTAGATACCAGGTGCCCTTTGAGAACTAGTCTCACCTGGCCTGTTCCTTTGAGTAAGTGGAAGCCTCGAGTAAGCCTTGCATGCAGCAGGCAATCAATAAACAGGGAATGAACGCAGCTTATCCATCGCTTGGTCTCTCTGGGTCTCAGTTTCCTCTACGTAAAATGAGGGTATTGGCAAATGATTGCTTATACCTCTTCCGGTTTTAACATCCTATGGGTCCTCGTGGATGACCTCCCATCGCCAAAGCCGTTTCAGGCGACGGCACAGTGCTTCCCTGGATCCTTGCCTGACCTCTTCCGCCCACAAAGATGTTTCCCCTGACCCTGCAGAATTACATTATCTGTCATACATATTTATTTACAGTCTGGTGACACACCTCAGGTTGTTGTTCAGTTTTTCACACGCCTAGTCCTGTGCTTACAACTAGAATACAAGCTTCCCACTATACAAAATGAGCTCAGTCAGGATTTGTTAAATAAATAAATGTCATAAAGAAATCATTCTAATTCCCTCTAGAGGGAATTCTGGGCTTAAAGGGATCTCAAGGCCTGAGGGTGAGTCCCAGGTCTGTGGTTTGGGAAACTGCGGGGTGACGCTGTTCTGCACGACGGGGACCCTGCAACCGGGACAGGCTCGGAGGGCGGAGGAGAGGAGCAGAAAGCTGCGTTCTACACCTCCTCCTTGGAGATCCTCAAGGAACATTAGCCAAGTAATGACTCTGAGCCACGAGATCCTGGCCAAAGGAACATGTTTTACTGTGTTTAGCCCAAAGCTTCCCAAATAATTGAACATGATTTTGGAAACAGCCGAACAACACAAGAAGAGGAGCAGGGCGAGGAGGGGGGGTCTGCAGAACAGGCAACCTTCAAGCACGGTGGGAGCAACTTGAGAAGGAGCGTCCAGGGAGGCAGGAGGGAGCTTTAGCTCCTGGACCTCAGTGCCGGCTCAGTCCTTCCACAGACACAGGGAAAACCAGGTCCCATCTCTTGTCGCGGGACAAGGGAGCCCACGAGCCGTGTCGTGGAATGTGCAGAGGTCTTCGGAAGAAAGAAGACGCCCGAGAACCTCCCGTTTCAACTCCCGCCTCACTCTCTCTTCTCAGAGACTCCCCCCTGTGCTGAAAGGAAGCCCGAATTAAGACTCTCAGGTTAAGGCTCCTGAGAAGAACCCGACACCCACTCTTGTACTTTAATGAATCAGATCTTACGTTAGATTGACTCAGCAGACAACACGAAACTTAACAACACAGAAAAATAAATGTTGCGAGTGAGTTAGTCACTTCACACACTCCCTGTCGTTAGGACTCAAACTTCCCTATCATGTTTCATTTCAATCTCAACAGCACCAGTTTTTTAAAAAAAATTCCCATTCACGTATGGAGAGCTGAGAAAGGGTGAAACAGATGAGCCAGGGCGAATGCAAGGTGGCCGTTCACACGGCGTGCACGCGGGTGGCATGGCACAGTGGGCAGCCACTGGGAACGGTTCCTCAAGGATTAAATATAAGATTAACACATGGCCCAGCAAGGGGGTACGTGGTGTCCTTTCTGGGCGATGAAAATGTTCTAAAATTGAGCAGTGGTGGTAGATGCACAACTCTGTGAATACACGAAAATCACTGACTTGAACACTTTGTTCAAAAGGGTGAATTTTATGGTATGTGAATTATATCTCAATAAAGCTGTTATGTAAAAAAAGAAAATGCAAGGGGGATGAATACATTCTTTTCAAGATAAAATTTCCTCCAAATAGTGGAAGTCAGGGATCTGTTGTTTGCTTCATCTCCGTCCCTCAAACGCTTCACGACCAGCATTTACCTCCACAGCCGCGTGGCAGCTGAGGGGCAGGTGTCTTATGCTCCAGCCTTTTTCCCAGATGGTAAAATTAACCTGGCTCTGATAAAGATTTCTTTTTCTTCTGGAAGTGCAAATAACATCCAACTATTGGTTTCTGACGTATTTGTGCCAACGGCTTTGTCTTGACATTTCTACAACATCACATTGGACCTCTTTGTTTATATAGTTTATCTGCACATTTCTTAGATCGCTTTTCCAAAAGGTTCCAAAAAGGTTTGTTGAGGGATAATTTTTTGTTGTTAGTGCCATTGAGTGGATTCCGACTCCTGGCGCCCCTGTGGACAGCAGAGGGAACCCTGCCGGGTCTGTCTGTGCCATCCTCTCACCTCCGATGCTCTATCAGACATGCTCCACTGCTGTTCACAGGGTCTTCACGGCCAATTTCTTCGGAAGTGGGTGGCCGGGTCCTCCTTCCTAGTCTGTCTGGTCTGGAGGTATAATTTTCATTCAGCCTAATTCACTCTGGAAGGTTTCTAATTCTACGAATTTTGGTGAAAGTTTACAGTCATGTGGCCACCACCACACTTGACGAGTCGACTATTTTCTTCACCCTACGATGTTCTGTCGTGTCCCTTTGGAGTCAACCCCTCTCCCCACACCCAGGCCCTGGCAGCCCGACCTCACTTCTGCCCTTAGGGCTCCTCAGTTCCCATTCTGTGTCCTCACGTTTATGGTGAGATAAGTCTCTCTCCCAGGCAGGGCGCTGCTTTGTGTCCCCATAGTGCCCAGGGTGGAACCTGGAACCTACAAGTTGCTCAGTAAGTAGACAGTGAATAAACGGATGAGTGACTTGCTTTTGATTTTGCCAAATCATAGTGGAGATTCCGCTCTCTGACTTCTAGGATGAACCTTTTGAAAAGGGGCTAGGATGTTGGGAAAAGCTTTCTCCTAGAGTTTTCATTTATAGTCTTCATTAAAAAAAAAAAAATGTTCACAGTGATTTCCAACACCAGAGGTTTTGCTGAGCATTTACATATTTCCTTAGACTTGGAGCTTACGACTCTGCTCAACCAGCATGTGGCCTCCACCCTCTTGACCTGAATAAGCAGACGGAAATAGAACCTGGGGCCAAAGGCAGCTGCTGCCCCCTCCTCCTTGTTGTGCCCCCCATCTCTGATCCCTCCGCCTCGCCTGGCAGGGCCCGGGGTCTCATCCAGAGCTTCCTGAATGAGTTCTATGAGGTTCCAGACCCACTTCAGGGACAGCTCGGGGACAATCTGACACCTGCTGGAGTCAGACTTCATCTCTGCTCTGCAGGGTGTGGTCCGTGAAAACCCACGTGAGCCAGCTCATCAGGCAGGCTTGATCCCCTCGGTCCTTCACGATCTGATTCCTCCTTTATCTTAACGTGAATCAGAAAATTGACATTCCCAGAGCAATTATAAGAGGGAGTAAATAAAATTCCTCCTTGCCTGACTGGTTCCATGAAATGGCCTAATCCTGGAAGAGGACTACCCTTTCTTGAAAGCTGTGGGTGCTTTTCTCCTGACTGGCCTACCAGCCCCAAGTGGATGGCTCCCTGTGCGCTTCCCGTGGGTTGGCAGTCCCCTGTGGTGCCCTCCGCCTGGCTGGCGAAGCCCAAATGTCACAGGCACCGAGAAGGAGCCCATGTTCCCTCTGGGGAGGTGGCACCTGGCCTCCAGGATGAAGTCTCAGTGGTGGCATCAAACTGCAGCCAGACGGGACCTCACTCCTTTCTTCCTCCTTGGCTCCCACGCTTCGCCCTCTGGCGTCCCCGGAGCAGGTCGCGGACAGTCCTGCTGCCAGGTAACCCTGCACCAGCAAACCTCAGTCCCGGCCCCACCTTTCCAGGTGTGAACTCCTGATACAAGGCGGGGGCCGAGGCGGTTCTGATACATGCTGCTAAAAGCAAAACGCCCAAAAGTTGTTAATTTTGGACACAAGGGGGAATTGTGTAGTTCCTAACTCTTGGACAGATAAACCATTACTCACCGAATGGAGCCAAAGAAATTCTTTGTACAGTGATGATGACAGGTGTGTGAGAGAGAGAAGAGGGAGATGGTGGATGGGGAAGCTTCAGAAAAAGAGAAAACACAAAAGGAAGAAAGAAAAAAAGTCAAAAAAACGTCAAAGTAGAAGGAAGCGTAGGTTCTTCAGCAGGGGCTGCGGAAGCTGATACCCAACTTTTGTGTCATTACTGCGGTGATAAAAAATACACTTCGGACAGATGGAGACGAGCGTGCAGAGCGGCCTCAGCGCGGGAAACTGCTTTCGGACATGAACCTGTGGGGTGGGCGGGGGGGGCGCCCAGGGCCATCCCGGCCCCGCCCTCCATCCCGGCCCCATCCCGCCCCCGCACCTCCCCGCGCCCCGCCTGCCGCCCGGCCCGCCCCGCGGGGGAGGAGGCGGAGGCGGCGCTGGGCTCTGGGCGCCGGGCTCCACGAACGGACTCGGCGGGGACCCGGCCGGGCGATGGACGCGCGAGGCTGCGTGGCCGCCTGGGGGGACATGGTGGCGCGGAACCTGCGGTGAGTGCACTCGGGCTCCAGGGGTCCCCTGAGCTCCACCAGCCCCGGGACCTCGGCCCCACCCCACCCGCAGGCCGGTGTCCCTTTGCAGCTCCTTACAGAGATGCCAGGAAGACGGCTCGGGTTCCTACCAACCTCTGTCTGCGTGACCATCTCACTACCAGGCCGATGGATTTCAAAAACACTAGTAATCGTGGCGGTAATAATGGTAGTCTTAGATGGCTTCCTGTTCGGTGGAGGCCTATCTGTGCAGATGGAGCAGGATGGGAAGGCCAGCCCGTGCGAAGCCTCCGGCAGGTATGGAAGGAACAGCCCTCCCTCATGCCTAAGATGGTGGGACACTGGAACCAAAACCTGTCGCTGCCTGTGCCAAGGTCTTGCATCCTCTAAATCGGAAATGTCTGTGTCAGCGGGTGTTTAATCTTCTTCGTTCCATGAATCCTTGGCTTCCACAGTAACCTTTACCCACCTGAATCCACTGCAGTATCTTGCCCATCACCTTTACTTGGAAGCAGGTGTTGGTAGGAGAGCCTGGACCGGGGAGACTGGGGTATCTGTTTTGTTCTGTTGGTGTGGGAAGGTATTGGCATTTTTCTTTGCCTTTCTTCTTTCTATTCCTTTGTTTTATTTAATTTTTGCTGATTACAAAATATCCAAGAATCACATCCAAACACAGGAGACTCACTTTGGAGTGTCCAAGTGAAGACGGACACCAAGCTCCTCTCCTTCTTCCTCCTGTGGCTCCACACTGCGCGGCGGCGGTGCAGACCCCTGGCCCCTCTGGGTGGATCTGCACCCCAGTCAGAATAGCCTGACGGCTGTGCTTTTCCAACTTCACATTCCTGGGCCTTCCCTCCCTGATACGGTCCTTCTGGGAAAGCTGGCATTTGCAGCTTCTCTTTCATGGTCTCTATAGAGTCGATGACGGATCATTTAACATTTATTTGGCAGAGAATCAAAGTGGCAGGTCACCCTTTTAGAGAACAATCCACTTTCTTGGTAGTGGAGTGGGACGTGGGGATTGGGGAATGCTCGATCACTTGCCTTACTAATTACTAACAAATAAGTCTCAAGAGATGCTTCCTGAAAGAATAAAACACTAGTACATTTCTTCACTGGAGCAGAAGATTACTTTACGAAGTGCAGAGGCTGGGGCACAGATGGGTGTCCCGCATCCTGAATCCTGGTTGTTTCTTGGAGCAGCTTGCTTTAGATGAACGAGCATTCGTGGGGGTTTGTTGTGTGCCTGGGGCTGCTGGCAGCGCTAGCTCTGCTCTGATGTGATTGGAGACTCAAGGAGAACGCTGAATCTTAGGATATTTGCAGTGGCTATTTTTTAATACTGTGGGGATCTGTTTATTTTACAAAAATTTCATCAGAGGTAGTTGTTCCTTAAGGTGGATGGACCCAGGAGAGTAAATCTCCGCATACAACTGGTTTTCTTCAAACTAGAAAAATGGAAAATGTGCACAGGAAAGAAGTTGGGGGAAGTCAATGGGCTATTTTCCTTCCATTTCTCCCTATTTCACCCCCAGTCTTTACATTTCTAGATAGTGCTTAGGAAGCCCCCGGGAGTGGGTGATGGCTGATTCATTCTTTCCGTTGGCTCTCTGTCGGCACCAGGCCAGGCCCGGGGCACACGGCGGTACAGGCACAAGTCCTGCCGTGGTGGAGCTCACGCTGACTTTCAACTGTAATTCAAAAAAGAGAAAGGAGCCCTTGCCCTCTCCCCCAGGGCTTCCAACAGGCGTGGCTTCCTTCTCCCTCATGAAAGAAACACACTTTTCTTTCAGTTCTCAACCTGTCCCTCCACAAGTACTTATGGAGCTCAGTCCTGTGCTGGACAAAGTGGAATGTGAAAGAAGCATTAGATGCCACGCGGGTCTGCTCATCGGGATACAGGGCTGATAGCGGGAAAACAACCAGAGAACAATGCAGAGTCCAACTGAGGCCGATTATATGAGTGGGAGGGTGGAAAGGAGAGGAAAGGTCACTGTGGGAGGATCTGTCTGGAGGGCCTTTGACCAAGGAGAGACACTTGAGTGGATGTGAGGGAAGAGGAGGATTTGGTTGGGAGGGAAGAAGGGGGGGGCACAGACACACCTTGGTCCTTGATGATCAACACACGTTGGCGGAGTAAACAGGCACGTAGGATGCATGTGCAGCTGGTCTTAATGTTTGGAATAGCTGTCTGGCCAAATGTGTTTGGGTTGGGCTTCCCAGAGCTGGTACCTCTGAGAGAAGCACGAATGATCGCCCTGTAGCAGCTCAGGTTCCACCAGTGAGAATCATCCAGCCGGGTTGGGTGGCCCCTGGGGGCGCTGTGTAGTTACAGCCACAGCTGATCAAAGGGCAGACGGAAGAGCACCAGAGCATCAAGGTGGCTGTTTGATGTGCTGGCCGGGGGCGGGATTGGGCTGAAGCTGCATCCATCGCTCAGATAAGGCCTGTTAGCTGCTGGTGACTTTTGATCCCTTACTGATCCAGGGGAAGTCAAATTGACAAGCCCGTAGTTAAAAGAAGCCGCCTGCATTATTGATGCTCTCAGGGATCTGGTCACTGTTCTCTTCCCGCAGCTCTTCTCACAGAAGTGCCTCGAGCTGTTTGAGAGGAGGGTCCTGTATGAATTATTCTTTAAAAACAGAAACATATTTCCCTCTACTGCCTCTGCTTTCTAAGCGCCCTGCCACCTTCAAAAGGGAGACTAACAGGCGGGCAGCGTGGGTTCAGTGAGGAGGGAGAAAGCAGGGGCCCACCGAGTGAAGGAAGCATGAGAAATCAGCCTGTGTGCAGGTCTGCCCATTTGGGCTTGATCTGGGGCTCAAAGTGGCTTCTCTGGGTTTTGATTTCTTATCTTTGAAGTCAGAACAACAATGTCCTCTCCTTCCTGCCGCCTTCACGGAGGCTATTTTAAAGTTTTACAAAACATCCTTTTCGTTTCTTTCTTGCTGCTTTTATGAGGAGGCAGCTGCCCGTGTCTGATGCATGTGAAGAGCTGTCCCTTACCCTGAGCCCACATCTCGTCTCCACGCCCTGCAGGGCTGCTGGAAACTCATCAGACGTTCATGATCTTCTCCTGTCATTCCTCCCAAACATATATAAGTACTCTGGTTTTTAAGTTATCAACACTTGAGGGAGAACTTTTTTAAAGGTCTCTCTCTGGTGACTTTGATAACAGAAGGCTCCTGAGAATACCGGATCAGGAAGGAAGAAGAAAATGGGGGGACAAAGGGACATTGCGAGGGGCAACTGTGCGGAAGGGGAAAGGGGACCCTGAGAAAACTCCCTCTGAAAGCTTAGCTTTGCCAGAGGCCAGCCTTGTTCCTGGGGTTCAGTTTTACTTGCATGGATGGCAAGTAGGACACACCAGGACAATGACAGCTCATTGGAGGTCATCACAGAGCTCTGGAGGTCACACAGACCTGGGTCCACGTGGCTCTGCCACTCATTGGTTGTGTGACCTTGGGAAGGTTACTGTTCAGTCTCCTCTTTTGCAAAGTACATGTAATAACAGTTATCTTCAAAAATGCCTCTGGTCTAGCAGAGAAATCAGGGCAGGGAGGCAGTTCAGAAATGCTGTCCAGCCCCTCAACCTGACGACATGATGATGGCGACCAGGCCTCACACTGACTGCTCACAGGAGGGAGCTTACCAGGTGTGTCCTGTCATACCTGGGCTCCATGTCCTCCTCCTGTCCTGTCACACATGGGCTCCATGTCCTTCTCCTCCTGTCCTATCACACCTGGGCTCCATGTCCTCCTCCTGTCCTATCACACCTGGGCTCCATGTTTTTTTCCTCCTGTCTCATCACACCTGGGCTGCATGTCCTTCTCCTCCTGTCCTATAACACATGGGCTCCATGTCCTCCTCCTGTCCTGTCACACATGGGCTCCATGTCCTCCTCCTCCTGTCCTGTCACACATGGGCTGCATGTTTTTCTCTTCCTGTCTCATCACACCTGGGCTCCATGTCCGTCTCCTCCTGTCCCGTCACACCTGGGCTCCTTTTTCTTATCCTCCTATCACAACTGGGCTCCATGTTTTTCTCCTCCTGTCCTGTCACACCTGGCTCCATGTCCTTCTCCTCCTGTCACACCTGGTCTCTGTGTCCTTCTCCTCCTGTCCTGTCACACATGAGCTCCATGTCTTTCTCCTGTCCCGTCACACACAGGCTCCATGTCCTTCTCTTGTCCCATCACACTTGGGCTCCATGTCCTTCTCCTCCTGTCCTATCACACCTGGGCTCCATGTCCTTCTCCTCCTGTCACACCTGGTCTCTGTGTCCTTCTCCTCCTGTCCTGTCACACATGGGCTCCATGTCTTTCTCCTGTCCCGTCACACACAGGCTCCATGTCCTTCTCTTGTCCCATCACACGTGGGCTCCATGTCCTTCTCCTCCTGTCCCATCACACCTGGGCTCGATGTCCTCCTCCTGTCCCGTCATACCTGGGCTTTTTCATGATAGGCCTTTGGGTTGGGACCCTGACTCGCTGCTTCCCTCTTCTAGTTCGCCATCAGTGCCCAGTCTGATCTTCCCTCATTACATATACTTCTGTAACGGATTTTGCTTAAATGCCAAGTTACCTGTAATTCCCTGTGTTGGTCTCTGAAATTTGATTGGGACTTTAAGAGAAAAAAGACAGCAAGACAAAACTTGGACAGATTCTGAATACCTTGTTTGTTTCATGATACATTGCAGATCTATTCCACACTCCTCTTCAACACTCAGAAGAAAAATTGCCACTCTGTACGACAATTTTACTTGTAAATCATTAAAAGAACACATTTTCCCTCCTCTGATGGAGATGTTCATTTTTTTAAATTTTTGTAAGTATGTACTTTTCATTAATTTCCCTATATGTTGTTTTCCCAAAGAAAGAACTCACTGCTGTCAAATATGTGACATCATGAAAAAGACCTGTCAGTTATAAAATTGTGGCTAGATTTAAATGGTCCAAAACTTATTTAATATGGGCTTTGGGGTCTAGTGTGAATCCTCGCAAACTGTCGGGGAGAGATTGAAAACCATAGCCTGTGGGTGGGGTTTCAGTTCAGGAGCTTGGTCTTCAAGTTAGCTGTGAATGTGGGTACCTCACTGTTACTGTCTTCTCTGCTTTTTCACTTCCTCTTCTTACCTATAGCCCTTGAGAGAGACAGACAGACAGACAGACAGGGAGAGGGAGAAAGACGGAAGTGCGATGTGAGGAATCCACTTCCCCTGTCGTCCTACTGAGAGCTGCATTGGTCGATGTAACACACGCGGGTTGTGCTCTTGCCTGGGTGTCGACCTTGGACACTACACGGCTCCCAGTGACGCCTGATTACCATCATGGAACGCCCACTGCTCTCTTCCAGACGCTCTCACCTTCCTAGGAGAAGGGTCTCCCTGCTTCCTGAGACAAGGATAAGGCTGGAATAAACTCTTCCATGGGCGACCACACTGGGTCCTTTAGCATCCAGCTCCTGTGATGGCTAGTCTTCATGTGGAAATGAAACACTCTGCCAGGAGCTCACTGCAGGAGCTTGCAGCTTAGAAGCCTGTTAACAAGAAGGCTAATTACTTTTTTTTGGTTGTGGTTAAAAGACATGGAATTTGATTCTGGGAGTTGATAATGATTTCTGCTTTCCAGTCAAAGCACCGTTTCTCGTGGATTTAAAGAAACCGGAGGTAAAGATCCCTCACACAGTGAACTTCTACCTCCGAGTTGAACCCGGGGTGACTCTGGGAATCTGGTGAGTGCTGATGGACGCTCGCTTGGTGCCGGGTGGGCAGTGTTGTGCACGGGAAGCGAGGGGGAGCAGCACCGGGCTGCTGGCCCTGGGTGGGGGAGTTCCCTGCAGGCTGCTCCACCCCTGCCCTTGGGCCTGATACTAGATGAGCTCCATTTTGCTTCTCAGGAATTTTGTTTGGAGTGTGGCATTGTTAGGCGTTGCCCTGTGCTTTGGGTCCCTCGCCAGGCCTGAAGGGCTAGCCCGCCCCCTCCTGCCTCCTTCCCTCCGCCTTCCGGCTTTCTCTGGACCCACTGGCCTCCTTGCACATGAAGCTGCACTGTCGCACGATGTGCTGTCTCTCTGCCCCTCTGTCCCCTTCCTTGCTTAATTAACCCCCTACCCATCCCCTGGGCTGAGTTTGGTTATTTTCAGGGAAGCCTTTACTCATCCTCCATTTTAGGCAAATGTTAGTGCCACCTGGGCTTGTCTTTCATGGCGTTTATTCCCACTGTACTTAAATGTCTGTGTGATTGTTTGGTTGAAGTTTGTCTTCCTTACAACACTATAGCTTTCCTGCGACTTTGTGGGTGGATTTCATCGCTTGGCACGGAGCTTGGCCCCTGGAAGGCACTCAGTAAACACCTGTGAGATGAAGTCATGAGTGTTCCTTGTGTTCTCGCTGTGCTGGTCTCGGTATTTTCTTCTCTTTGGTTCTGCTGCTCGTTCTTGGGCTCCTTTTCCGGGGCCCTGGTCTAGATCTTATCTCCTGGAGTTGAAGCATCTGAGCATAGAGTGTGGAGGAACCAGTGTCGGTTCACCCACAATGTGAATGCTTCCTAATCTGCAGTGAACAGTTCAGCCAACAGTGTGGCAATCTGAGCATCTCTAGATTCTTTGCTCCTGCCCATCTGTCCTTGGTTTGGGGAGTCAACTGTCCTCATGGTGGGCTCACCTGGTGGGCAGCAATGGCCGCCTTCTCAGGGCAGAGGCTTGGGGTTTGATGTCAGACTTTCTGCTCCCGAATGATTGAGGACTGAAGATTTATCATCACGTGGCCAGTCTCCAAGTGCTGGGAGGCAGTGTTTGTATTTTCGGGGGTTCACTCATCGGTTTAACAAGGGGGAGGATCTGGAGCTCAGACAGGTGTTTAAAATCAAGTTTCTTGAGTAGAAGAGCTTGGTGTCATGGTAAAGTGGTGTTCTTCTACCAAAATGGGTTCTCTTTCAATTCTTTCCAACTTGTCTCTTCAGCCAAACCATAGCAGGCGGCAAATGTCTGTCATCTTTTTCTTGTTTCCATCCAGTGGACTGCATTTCAACGCACTGCACCTAAGAGCCACAGTCCTGGAGGAGCATAGGCATAGGCAGGAGTCAGAGACACCAAAACATAATGGTCGAAGGGGTTCTGTGTGCATGGGGAGGGGCTGGGGCAGCAGCGGTTTTCATTATAAGACCTATCTGTGGTATTATATTTTAATTTTTACCATGTGTGTATATGACTCAGATAAAAGTTTAGAAATATAAACATGTATGTTTACATCTATCTATCATCTGTCTATCATCTATGGTCTGTCTATCATCTATCTATCTATCATCTATCTATCTATCAATCTATCCACTATCTGTCTGTCTATCTTATTGACATAAGGAAGGTTTCAGACTCCGCCACGGAGAGAGGGCCCTCCCCTCTGGACATGTTTGTTGGAACCTCTCGTCGCTGCAGGCACACGGTCCCCAGCTGCCGGGGGGAAGACGCCAAGGGGAAGGACCGTTCCTGGTACGAGGCGGCCCTTCGCGACGGCAACCCGATCATCGTGTATCTTCACGGCAGTGCGGAGAACAGGTCAGTGACTTTGCTCAGACTCCTTATTTTAAGAGAGAGAGCCTTTCAGTCCTGGGGAGAGTGAGAGGCAGGGCTCAGTTTTCATCTCTGAGAGCATGCCTATACACATTTTTTTTCTTTGGTTGAAATTTGAAGGTGTCTGGCAATACATTTCTCTTAAAAAATATAATATGTATTCTATATGTAGAATAATGTGGATATTTCACTGAAAGAGAGACTGACTTCCAAAATTTGGATACTGGTTTCAAAGAAGACAGTGGTTTGTTTAATGCCTAAGACTGTCTGAAATGAAGGATTGAACCTATGGAGGACTGGAAAGAGAACAGGCATGAGACATGAGGCAAAGACAGAGCAATTTCCACATCGATGGTCTTTTCACAAAACTACATGCAGATTCTCCTATTTAGCACGAATCCTTTTGATCAAAAGTTTAAACCCCCTATGAGAGCTCAACTGGAATTCTGACCCCAGGGCCCAGGGACCGTCTGAGTAATTCTAGTTTAGAACACGATGCCCCAGCCCGCTCTGCATACCCGGCCTCGTCTGCCAGGAGGACGGCCTCCCGAAGCCCCACTCTCTGATGTGCCACAGAGCCTGTGGTGCCTCTAATTACGGGGGGCGATGATCACTGTGCCTCTTCAGCTTGGGGCAGGGGCAACGAGCTGCGGAGACCCCAGAACTCACTCTCTCAGGGGGGACACTTCAAACCAGGCGACAGGCTCCAGAAGGTGTCCCTCGGCTGCCTCGCCTGTGTCTCTCTCTCACTGTCTTCTTCTGTCGGATGATGGCTTTCTCAAGACTTGCCTTGGCTCAAGGGGCTTTCTCAAGCTGTCCATCTGAGAGTCACATTTACAGAGATCCCCTATTCAAATCAGCACTTTTCAACGTGGTTTCACATTGTTCTGGCTGTGCAGACTTGGGGATGGGGTTACAGTAGCTTATTTAAAGGATGGTGAGGACCACGCATCCACATCTGCCCCTCTGGGGGAACCTGCTGTTGCTCTCAGTGACCCAGACTCACCGGCGCTGGGTCACCCAGCTTCCTCCTGCCCTCCCAGAAGCCTCTGCTTCCACCAGCAGTACTGGGTGGAAGGCAGGCCAAGTGGGAGGAATGGGGAACCTTGCTGCCAACAGTGGTTCTAGACTCGGGATCCACGGAAGGCCCGGAGGGTCCACACACACCCTCCCCAAAACTGTACATAACATTCAAAGGGTGGATTTTTCTGGAAAAGGGGCCCATAGCTTTAACCACATGTTCACAGGGCTCCATGATCCACTAAAGTTTAAGAAACTTGGCTCTAAGACAAAATTCAAACAGTTTTTAAAAATTTTTTAATTTTTATTTATTTTTTTTGGTGAGGAAGATTGTTGCTGAGCTAACATCCGTGCCTATCTTCCTCTATTTTGTATGGGACACCTCCACAGCATGGGCTGATGAACTGTGTATAGGTCCATGCCCGGGATCTAAACCCAAGAACCCCAGGCCACTGAAGCGGAGTGCGTGAACTCAACCATTACACCACCAGCCCAGCCCCTCAAGCAGTCTTTGAAGAGTCCTCTGCCATTTGAATCCTCTTTGTCTCTCTTGCATTAATGCGGTTACTACAGAGCAGACAGTACGGTTGTTTTGGAACAAGATGTTTCTTGCACCTCCAGGGCCAGGGCCTCTGGCCTTCGCTGCGTCTTGCTCCATGGCGGGGTGGACCCGGAACAGGCGGATCTCGGCTTAGTGAACACGACTATACCATCCTGTGTTCTGAAAAGCCGCTTTCTGGCACTGATCTTTCTTCAGCTTCCGCACGTATTCTTAGAAGGAGGTTTTGCTGTGTGGAGTGAAGGGAGGGGCCATCAGCGATCCGTCCCACGCTGACGCTGGGCAGCCCAGGCGGCCAGGCCCGGCTCCTTGGGCTGGGCAGCAGTGGGGAGCCATCGCCACTCACCCTGACACGTCCACCGGGGCTGTGACGCCCAAGTCGTCTCCCCTTCCTAGCGACTCATTCCTCTAACCGGAGAGAGGAACCATGAGATCAGATGCCAGCAGCGTGATAGTGATTTTTATTGAATTTGTCACTGAAATTCCTAATTCTTGCTCTTTTTTTTTAACCTCCTCCATAGGGCAGCTCCTCACAGAATCAAGCTGGTGAAGGTATGTCTCACGGGGCCTCAAGGCACCGATTTTATGTCTCCAGTTGTTGTCTTCTGGGCTCAGCCGTAAGAACTTCCTCAGCCCTCAGCACAGTTGTGTCCTGAGAGCTCCCAGGGTGGGCATGGAGCCTGGAGCCCAGAGTCCCACAGGTGGACTTCTCGACCTGCAGTGACCACCGGGGATCAAAACAGATGTGAACATCTCCGAGTCCTCACACCCTTTCATGAGTTTATGACCTTCATCGCCAGATGGAGTTGAAGACACATTTTATTTGCTTTTTCAGAGGGCTGGGGGATGGGATGAGAGTATATTAAGTGCAAAAGGCATTCCTACAAGAAACAACCGTTTTTTTGTGGTACAGGATAAAGACAGAACGTCTGCTTTCAAAAGTCGTGGAGGCCCTGGCTTCGCCCCATAAAGGGAGGCAGGCACTCTGCCCCCCTCACCAGCCTGCTCAGGGCCCCAGCTTGGGGGCACTGCCCCTGCATCTTCCCGTGTGAGGAGCAGGGCAAGCGCTCCTGGCTCAGAGCTGGTGGGCCAGGCTGTGTATCCTCTCCCACGCTCCAGTTTGTTAATCTCTCAGGTGGCCGGGTCGCTTGTCCAGTGACTGACCACAGGACCTGATCTCTCCTCCCACATGCCAGCTCTCGCCTCAGAGCTCTTTCCTGACTTGACAGTGTCAGTGGGGCCCGGAATCCTGCAGGCCTGGCATCCCAGACCTGCTCCCCCATCCACCGCTCCCTCTCCCGTCACTGCCTCCCCAGAGCCCACTCTGACCGACTGGTGGGCTGGATGTGGTCTTGCCTGGGATGGCGGCGCCTATTAAGTTTTAGGTGTGCTTCCACCCTGAAGCCCACTCTTCGCACTTCCTCCATGGGATGGTGGTGAAGCCGATGTGTATGAGAACATGTATTATTTTCCCTCCCACTCTTGGCAAAGCTGAACTGTGTGTCCCCTGTTGGAGGCGTCAGTGTGAAGAGTGGTCAGATCACCTGTGGAAGTTGGGATGGGTGGGGAGGGTACGGCGAGACTCCTGCCTTGCAGACTCGGTGCCACGTGCCACACGCATCATTTCCCAAAGCTCCTCAGCCCTTTGATTTCCCTTTTGGGTAGGGGATTTCTTTTAAAAATTAAATCTTTATTATTAAATTGTCCCTTCTTCTTTCCTTCCTTCCTTCCCTCCATCCCTCTCTCTTTTTCATGCATTCATTCATCCATCACTTCAGTCACCCAATACAGCTATTTTCACTTATTTGCATTCCCACCTAGTCTTTGTGTCTCTCTCTAGTTTTTATATACTATGATTGGGTCCATATATATTCTCCTGTTGTGGTCTTTTACTTAATACTATTTCATAACCGTTCTTCCATGTTTTTCCTTAGTTGTCGTAGTTATCAATTTAAAGGGTGCTCATGCTCCATGGCATTCATAGACCATCGTTTATTAACTAGTCCACTGTGGTGAGATACAAGTGTTTTTTTTCTAAATTCACTTTAAATAGTATTGCTACAGAAAACTTTAAGCATTTAGTTTTTTCTTCTTTAGGTTTTTTTTCCTAGAGATAAATTCTTAGGCGTAGGATCTGCTGTTGTTGTCCTTGAGTTGTACTGTCAAGTGGTCCCTCAGTTTACAACAAACAACACATGATATTCCACTTCCCTGGATGCTTAGCTACTCTGGGTCTTAGATAGCTTTCTTGGAGGGAATGTAGTTTAAACAGCTACTTAAAAGTTTTGTTTAGTTCCTCATTATTAGTTCAATTTGTATATAAAAGTCCCAAGGAGATGCAGCCACCCACTTCTGTGCGGTGCTGGGGGAAGCATGTGTGTGGACATCAGCAGACCCAGGGGAACAAGTTACTTAAACTTTCCAGGGTCAGTTCCTTTATCTGCAACATGGAGATCATACCTACCTTACAGGACTATCGCGAGGATTAAAGTTTTACAAGCGTCTGCAGAGTAAATTCTGCCCCGTTTCCCTCTTCTCTTTGTCTATCACTGCAGCTCATCTCATTTGAAATGGTGTTTCCATACGCTTCCCTCATTTATCCGCAGGGCTTGGCCGTGCTTTCATATAGTCGAGCGACCTCTTTATTTTGGATCGATGTTAACTCTTGTTCACATTTAATGCAAAGCTCTTCCCATTATCTGATTGCCTCTCCTACAACTCTGTGGAGTTCTTGTTCTCAAGGGAATTCTTAGAAAAGATGTCTGCTGTGTCTCAAGATGCCCTGTCATCTCAGGTGGTCCTCCAGCAATCCTCCCCAGCACTCTCCTTCTTTCCCGCGGAGCCAGATCTCGAGTTCGAAGTCAAACCCCAGATTCAGAAACCCTCTTTCCCTTCCTATGAAACCATCACTCCCGGGCTGTGAGGAGGAGCGGGGCTTCTGTTCCACCTTCCCTGTTTGCGTCTTCTACTTGAAGTGGTAACAGCCCCTTTGTCATCCAGGTGCTGAGTGATGGCGGCTTCCACGTCTTGTCTGTGGACTACAGAGGTGCGTGTGGAGAGCAGGGCACAGACGCTTTCCAGGGGGAGGGAGGCTTGGGATGGCCTCACCTGGAGGCTGTGACCTGTGTTGGCCTTCCCTGCCACCAGGGTTCGGGGACTCCACCGGGAAGCCCACTGAGGAGGGACTGACGGCTGACGCGCTCTTCGTCTACGAGTGGACCAAGGCGAGAAGTGGCACTACCCCCGTGTGTCTCTGGGGCCACTCTCTGGGAACAGGGTAAGAGGGGTCGGAAGAGGGTCCTTTGGCTTCTGTGTCACATCCCTAGCGGCAGTGCAGGAGCACCGCGCTTAGAGACAGGGGCTCTGCTCTGCCCTCTCATAGCCCACAATTGGCCAGAGACCTTGCCATCTCAGTGTGCCCATATGCAGAGCAAGGGAGTGTCCGTTCAGCTCTGTGGTTATCTGTGACACTGAAGCCCATTCCAGAACTCTCCCTGAGAGTTCTAAAGGAAAGGATTCTTAATATGGGGAAATCCTGTGCAAAGTTCTCTGTCTTGCTACATTTTCTAAGGGGAGGGCCCAGAGCTCTCATGGTATACTCGCCCTGGATGCTGCACTTTGTGCTGCTTACTGGACCGTGAAGTCATGGCTTCACACATGCACTAATTTTTGTTTCTTTACAGGGTTGCAACAAATGCTGCCAGAGTGCTGGAAGAGAGAGGTATGTCAGTGCTTGCACGGGGGGAGCCGGGGATATGCTGGAAGTGGGGGCTCACAGGAGACTCCTGCACTCCAAACACAGAGACACCCGCAGCTCCCCAGCTTTAGACAGTTTCCGAGAGTGTAACAGGCTTGCTTTCCTCTCTGTTTAATATAAAACAATAGCTGGTTTTAAAGGTTATGAATTAAAAATAAATCCTAAGGAAAGAGTTGAAATTGCCTTTGGAAAAGCCCTCCTTGTGAAGTGAAAATGAGTGTTGTTACTGAGTGACCTGGATTACAGGAGAGGAAACGATCCATGATGACGTGACAGGTGGGGCTCGCTGGCCACAGCCCTCTTACACGACATTCACGGCAGCTTCTCCCCGTGTTCTGGGAGGCGCCTGCACCCACAGCTCCTGCGGGTGCTTGTTACAACACAGGCCTCCTGGATCCCAGATGTTTTCACCAGAATCTCTATGAACAGAACCAGGTGACTCTGACGTGCTCTACAAGCCTGTGATCTCTTGCATTGTGTCCTAACCTTCACATGGCAATACAGGTCAGGCTGAGTCATGTGAACACCTGAGACAGGTCACCTGCGATCACACTCTTAATTACTTACGGAAATGACACTCTTGTGGCCATCCGCGCACACCGCGTCCACAGCGCTGGTCATCGTACTGTCTGAACTCAGTGCTCATGTCATGAACACTTTCCTTCCTGGATGAGGCAATGATTTACTCCCAAACTTATGAACTTATGCTATCATGTATTTTAATTTTCTGAATATTACACACTTCATAAAACATCATTATTCTTATATTATAAAGTCAATATTTAGATTCACCCTTTTCTTTGCTCTTTGTTACACTCAGCATCACTGTGCTTCCATCTGGGATTTCTGATCTGCCGATGTGAGTGAAAAATTCTCTTAGCTGTGGTCTGAAAACGTTTTTATTTCATCTTCCTTCTTGAAGTATATTTTCACTGAGCATAGAATTCTAGATTGGCAGTAACTTTATTTCAACACTTTGAAGATGTCATCCATTTTGTTGTGGCTTTCAGTGCTTCATTGGGAAGTCAGCTGCCAGTCTCCCAGCTGCTCCTTTGAAGAAAATGCTTACTTTTTGGTCTGGCTCCTTTTTTTTTTTTAGGTGAGGAAGATTGGCCTTGAGCTAACATCTGTGCCAAGCTTCCTCTATTTTGTATGTGGGATGCCACCACAGCATGGCTTGATGAGCGGTGTATAGATCCATGCCCGGGATCTGAACTGGCAAAACCCCAGGCCTCTGAAGCAGAGCACAAACTTAACCACTATGCCACTGGGCTGGCCCCTCTTCTGGCTGTTTTTGAGAATTTTTTTTTGGCTCTGTTTTTAGCAGCTTTACTGTGATTTTCCTAGGTGTGGATTTCTTAGTACTTATCTTCCTTGGGGCTCACAGTACATCTCAATTCTGTGGCTTGATGTTCATTCATTTTGGAAAACTGTTGGTCCTTATATCTTCAAATAGTGTACCTGCCCCATTCTACCTTTTCTCTCCCACTGGGACTATAATATATGTCTATTTTTTAGTCGGTTCCCCATGTCCTACATGTCTCCAATGTTCTTTTTTGGGTTTTCCAAATGTTTTTCTCTTTGTGCTCTAGTTTAGATATTTTCTTTTGACCGCTTACACAGTTCATTAATTCTTTTCAGCTGATTCTAATATGGTGCTTAACTAGTCTATTGATCTCTTCATTTCAATTATTGTATTTTTCAGTTCTAGAATTTTCATTTGATTTTTATAGAATTTATAGTTTTCTCCTAAAATTTTTATCATCATTGATTTTTTGAATAATCACTTAAATATATATTTATGTGTCTATGTATGTAAATATGCGTAAATAACTGAGAATTTTAATACACTAATATCAATATAGGGAAGCTTTAACAATTATTAAAATTTTAATAATTTTACTATATGTTATTTACTATAAGTTATTTTAAAGCCCATATATGATAACTCCAATACCTAGGTCTTTCATTGGCCTATCTATCTCTGCTATTGGCTTTTTTGTTGTTTTTGGGCTATTTTTGTCTTTTCATGTCTAGTTGTTGTTAGCTAAGTGCTAGGCATTGTTTATGGAAAATTGTAGTAATCTGAGGCTGGGGGAATGGCATCGTCTTCTGGAAAGAGTTCACTCTTCTCCTGAAAGGCAGTTATGCAGGGAGACCCCCAGTCTAATCAGGGGTTGAGCTGACTGAGGCTGGGCCTCAGGCCTTAGGAGGCTGGTCTGTTTCTAGTTCACCATCACTCCCAGGGTGTGGTCCTTTGCAGTCAGAACAAAAAGCCCGAGATATTTACTCAGGCCCTCCTCCTTGTCAGATCCTGAGCTCTAATTTTTGTCCTCGTGGTCCTGTGAGATGCTGGCGGTTCTGTCGAGCTCTCAGCCATCACTGCTGCTCTCAAAGTTTCCGCTGCTTGGAGGGGAGGCCGCTCAAACTCTCTTGGCGTTGTTCTTTTGGTATTGGCTCTACAAATTCTCACTGATTTAGCAGCCCTCAGACACCTTCAAACATCCAACACACATTTTCTAATTGTTCTCAGAGGGAGTGTTGGCCAAAACAACCTAGTCGGCCTCTGGCACGTTCTCAGCAATGGACTGCAGAACACTTCCCATGGCGCTTTGCTTCCTTGAACTGTCCAAGCCGTGAAAGTCTGCTTGTGTTTTAGAAGAGAGTAGTGGTTTGCAACTATCATGTGCATGGAAATCTCTTGGGTGGGGGAGACCTTGTTAAAAACGCAGATTCTCACACTCCCCACCCCCCTGAGATTCTGACTTCTGACTCTGTAAGTCTTGTGTGGGGTCCAGGAATTTGCATCACTAATAAGCTTCACAGATGATTTTGATGCAGGTAGTTTATGTACAAGACCTTGAGGACCCCTTATTTAGGGAAGGTGCTATTTCAATATGATAGGGGAGTTATTTCTTTTTTGCTATTTTCAAGGATCCCCAGCTGATGCTATTATCCTGGAAGCTCCATTTACCAACATATGGGTTGCAAGTATCAATTATCCCTTGTTAAAGGTGAGTCTCTGATTCATCTTCCCAAGATGTCAATGTGTAGGCTGTTTCCATGCCTGTGTTTATTAACCACATTCCTTTCTTAACTAGTTTCATATGTTTCTAAGTTATTCTAACCTGAGACAGGTTATTAGCCAGTTGCAGTTAAAGCGGGGCACGATGGCTTCTGGACTTGGAGGTCCCTTTACTTTCTTCTGATAGATAGAGGGGCTTATAAGAGCCAAAGCTTTACCTCCTATCTTTTACAATTCTGTAGATAGACTTGACTTGGGTTTATATATTATTATTATTTCTTTTCAAAGTGGAAACAAAGCTCTCATTCATCATTTTTAGCCCTATGAATGTCAGTCACATATCTTTCATGATTTTATGATAAGCAAGTCTCTAGAGAATGCAAGGAAGCTGCCAAATGGTTTTACACAATATCCCAGGAAGAGAAGACAATCTTTCCAGGCAGAGAAAGAACTGGGTGAGAAGATGTTGTTTTTTCACTCTGTTGTATAGATTATTCTAATTTTGTAATTTTATTCCATGCCTAACGCTCAGTTGCTTATAGTCATACCTCCATATAAATGTTAGCAAACAAGTGGGACGAAAAGAGAGAGAGGATTCTTAAGGGGACATGTGGCCCCAAATTTTAAATTGCTGTTAGAAGGCATCTTAGGTTACTTTAATCCAACTGTCTACTTTTGGAATCTTTCATACAATGAATCATCCTTGAACTTCGAGGGAAAAGGCAGTTTGTTACTTCCTAGGACAGCTAGTTCACAGAATCACAGAGTCTTGAAAATGCCTGTGGGCTATCTAAGCCCCACTCAATACTGGAATTCCCTCTGCAATCTAAAGACTGAAGGCCGAGTAATTTAAGATTTAATAAATCAGACATTTTCAATTGGTTCTAGACAAGTGAACATTCATTTTAAGATAATCATTAATGGAACATCTATTATATTACTCTAAGTAATTACTAATAAATTCATTGACTTGTTGGTATTTAGCAATTCAGATATGATCTTTCCATTTACTTTTGTTTCTTTTTTGATATTTTATAATTTTGAAATTTAACATAATAGAATACATGATTTAACAAATCATTATAAACTGAACACCCATGTAACCAACACCTAAGTCAAGAAATTAGCATCACTAGCACCCCTGTATGTCACTTCCCAATCCAGTCAGCCTCGCCCTAAGTGTGACGCTGGGTTTCATGGTAATCGTATCCAGGCTTTTCTTTATGGCTTACCACTCATCTGTGCATCTCTAAGCAATGTAGTTTTGCTTTTCAACTTTATATATTAGTAGAATTATATAGGACAATTTCTATTTTTTTCATCCATTCATATATTTGTAGAATTTTATCCATGATGTATAGCTATGATTTGATAATTTTCATTGCTATATAGTATTTCATTGTATAAATATAATATAATTTATTGACTTATTGTATGTGGGCATTTGAGTTGCTTTCTGTTTGGGGTAATAACATTGTTGTCAACGTTCTTGAATGTGAATTCTGTAAGCATGTGTGTGCCTATCTCACTGGAGTATTACCTGGGAGTGGAATTGCTGGATTATAAGGCATGCATATTTTCAGCTTTAGTAGTTATAGTGCCAAGCAGTTTTCCAAAGTGACTTGACCACTTTATTCTCCCACCTGTTGTGTATGAGAGTTCCAATTGCTTTACATCCTTGCCCTCATATTCTTATCTTGTTGTGGTTTCAATTTGCATTTCCTTGATGACTAATGAAGTTGGGCATTTTTTCATATGCTTATTAGCCACTTAGACATCATCTCTTGTGAGATACTTATTCATGGTTTTTTTTTGGTTTTTTGTTGTTTTTTTTGGCTGAGGAAGATTGGCCCTGAGCTAACACCTGTGCCAATGGTCCTCTCTTTTGTATGTCGGTCACCACCACAGCATGGCTGCTGACGAGTGGTGTAGGTCTGCACCCGGGAACCAAACACAGTTAGCCAAATCAGAGCATGCTGAACTTAACCACTTGGCCATGAGGCCAGCCCCCTTTTGTTCATTTTTAAATTGAGTTGTCTTTCTTTTTATTTATAAAAGTTCTTCATAGGATGAGTCATTAGAAAATTATCTGAATTGCAAATATATTCTCTTATTTTGCTTTGCCTTTTTACTCCCTTAATGGTATCTCATGATGAAGAGATGTTCCTAAATTTAAGGTGGACCAGACCAGTTTACCAATGCTTTTTTTTTTTATAGCTAATACTTTCGTGTCCTGTTTAATAAAACTCTGCTTACCCAAAGATGGAGATACTCTTCTATGCTATTTCTAGAAATTCTGTTTTACCTCTTAGATTTAGAGCTGTAATCCACAGGTATGTATTGTTGTAGATGTTGGATGTAGAAGTCCATATGAACATCCAGTTGGCCCAGAGCCATGTACTAACTGGACCTTCCCTGCACTCTGCAGAGCCAGTGTTTGTATATATCAGTGCCTATTACATATATAGGTCTGCTGGTAAATTCTCATTTCTCTCCTTTGTCTCGTATGAATACTACAATCTCTTAATTACTGTAGCTTTATCATATGGCTTGATATCTGGCTAAGTTCTTCAGCTTTGTTCTTCTTATTCAAAACTCTCTTGACTATTCTTGACCCTTTGCATTTCCACATATGTTTGGGAATATACCTGTCAATTTCTACAAAAAACTTCCTGGGATTTTTAATTGGGATTACTTTGGATCTATAGATCAATTTGTGGGCATTCATAGCTTTCTAATATTGAGTCTTCCAATTAATAAACCTGGTATTTACACATTTACTTATATATACATTTATTTATTATTTAGGTTTTCTTAATTTCAGTTTTAGGTCAGCTTCTCCTAGAAGCGGAGCCATGGCAGTGATTTGGTGTGTGTGATCTATTGAAAGAGTGCTTTTCAGGAAAAGCCTGGGAGGTCATCTGAATGAGAGTTGCAGGATAGGGAAGTGGGAAGAGGAGAACAAGATGTGACCTCAGGTAACGTCCAGCTTTGGCTGGATCCACATAGAACTCCAAGGTTCGAGTCAAGGCTGGTGGTCGATCCCACCGTTCCTGGGGTTGGGTGGGGTGAGGGTGGCATCACCTTCCAGGAGCAATGGCTTCTGTCATCCAAGGCAAGGAGGAGGAGGGCAGCCAGCACTTACAGCAAGAGTTAACGAATTTTATTAGCCTTTTCAAAGAGCCAACTCAGATCTTGTTGACCATCTGTATCGCAGGCTTTCTAGTTTATTAATTTCTAGTCTTACCATGATTATTTCCTTTCTTCTGTTTTCTTTAGATTTAATTTGTTTTTTAAAAAATTTCTTGAATAATTTATTTTCAGAATTTCCTCTTTTCTAATTTATGCATTAAGGCATATTCCACCTAAACCTTACTTCAGCTGCATCCCACAAGTTTCAAAATATATTTTAATGATCATTTAACTCAAAATATTTTATACTATTGGACTTCTTTGACCCATAGGTTACTTAGAAGTATATTTCATGATTTCTATACATTTTGGAATTTTATTATGTTTGTTATTGATTTCTAGCTCAATTCTGCTATGATCTGAGAACATACTCTGTATGATTTCAGTCTGTGAAATTTGTTCAGACTTGCTTCTGTCCTGAAATGTTGTCAATGTTCCACGTGCTTGAAAAGAATGTCCTGTTTTTGGTGCAGTGTCCTATATATGTCAATTAGGTCAGATTATTCATCGTGTTCAATTCTCCAACTTCCTCACTGATCTTTTTGACTGGTTGTTTTATCGGTCACTCAGGGAAGAGTATTACAGTATCTTACCATGATTGTGGAGTTGTTTATTTCTATTTTAGTTTTTTGGAGGTTGTATTATTAGGAACATACATCCAATAATAATGTAATTTTCATATCTCCCATGTGAATTGATCCTTTTTCATCAGGAAATATCCCCTTTTGTGATTAATAATGCTTCTTGACTTAAAGTTAGCTCTGTCTGATGTGAATATACCTTTGTTTTGAACAGTGTTTGTGTGATATATAATTTTCTATCTCTTGACTTTCAACTTCTCTGAATTCTTGTATGTACTGTATATCTCTTGGAAGCAGCATATAGTAGGGTTTTGATTTCTTCCCCAGTATGACAAACATTGCCTGTTAATTGTAGTATTTAGTCTGTTTACATTTAATCTAAGTATGATCTAGTTAGTTAGTTTAAACCTGCTCTCTTACTCTGTGCTATTCTGTTTGTGTCATCTATGCCGTGTCCTTTGCCTCTAGTTTCTTGCTTTCTTCTGACTGGCAGCTGTGTCTCAAGGAGAAAAGTGGTGTTGAACGTCAGGCTCACCTCTCTGAGCTTCCCTTCTCTCTGGGATCTAGACCACTCAAGACCTCCCTGTCTTGGTACATATCTGACACCTTCAAACAAAGGTTTTTAAAATAATTTTCCAGCTCTTTTAGTTGTCTTTGGCAAAAGGTTTGGTCTGTAACAATTCCTCTATTATTAGAAGTGGGAAATCTCCCAATATTTTAAAGTTTGGAATTTGATTTAAAATGTCATAAAACCTTAGTTTGCTGGTACTTCGATGGGCTGGAAGTGCAGCCCCCTGCAGCATTCTGTCTTCAAGGACCAGGACTCGACTCTGCTGTCAGACTTCCTGGGTTTGACCTCCAGGCTGTCACCTGACAGCTTGTAACCTTGAACTAATTGCTTCTACTGCTTCAAATACCTCATCTGTAAAATGGGGTAAAAATAGTCTACTCAGGGCTGTTGTAATAATTAAATGAATTATATGTGAAAAGCATCTCTAGGAGTGTCTACACAGAATGAGTGCTCAGTGGCCCTTAGCTGTTTTACTGTCGGTGGAGTGCCACGACTCTGAACGTCACGTTGGGTGAGACAGTGTAGGCGGCGTGGGACACGCGGGTGCAGTGCAAGGCACAGGCCTCAACTCTAGAGGCTTCCTGCCTAGTTGGGGAGACAGGAAAGTTGAGACAGGGATTTCCAGGTGTCACTTTAGGATCAGTTTCTTTGCTCAGAACAGGAAGGCAGCATGACACATGGACAAAGACCTTGGCTGTGGAGCCAGACAGATCTGGGTTCAAATTTGGCCTCTGCCACTAACCAGTTAAGACCTTGGTGAGTTACTTCCCTTCTCCGAGTCCTCCTATTTTTAGGATGGGGTTGATGCATACTGCCTACTGCACAGGGCTGTTGTGAAGATTAAATTAAGTAGAGTGGTCTATGCAAAGCACCAGCTGCTGGTGGGCAGTCAACCAACACTTGTCCCTTCCTCACTCTTCCTGCCACCAAGCGGACGAAGAGAAGTGTTAGGGAGGACCCAGGACTATAATTTCAGGGTGGGCAGAATTTAGGAAGAGAGGTCTTGTATGCCGGTGTGGTCAGTGGAGACGTACAGAGAGACTGTAGATGCAGGAGAGCAGTCAGGTAAGACTGAGAGGAGGCGAGGATGCGAGCCACGGCCCGTGGCCGGAGTGGGGCAGTTGTGTTAAGGTCCTGAGAACCAGGGCTTCCACCTGGAGCTTTCACACTCTCCCCCTTTAAGTCCTCACGATGGCTCCGTGAGTCTGGCATCATCGCCTTCACTTAGGGCTGAGGGAAGTGGAGTGGAGGCTTGCCCAATGGCCACACACCCTGTAAGAGGAGGAAATGGGATTCAATCCTATATCTTCTAACTCCAGGCAGACAGATTGGAGGTGAGCAGCCTTTGGAATGAAAGATTGTGTCCAGACGTGGATGGTCCTGCAGTCAAGCCAGGAGTCTTTGGTTTTGTTTTAAAGTGGACGATGTGGCTCTCCCAAAGCTTTGTAATAGCAGATTCCACGTAACTGGAATTTTAGGAGCATTTACCTGCTGGTATCCAGGAGAGGAGGCAGGCAGACCAATCAGGAGCCCCTCTGGATGGGACGGTGTGGCCTCTGAGTCTCGAGGGGCACCCCTGCTGGTGAGGAGTGAGGAACAACGGGGTAGACTGACTGGGGCCTGCTTCCTTCTTCCACCCTCGGAATTGGAGATGAGCTGCCATAGGGCGTCTCCTATGGAATTCCCCTCAGAGGAGTTCCGATTCCAGGGTGGTGGAATCAGAAGACAAAGGAAAAAAGAAAACCGAACAAGACATCTTACCCTTGTATAAGTAAGAGGAGGGCAAAGGAGAAAGGGAGGAAGGCAGGGTGAGGATGCAAGTGTGCACTGCCCACTAGGAGACCTCGCAGAAAACGCAGGCCCACGACCCCAGAACCAGGGGGTGCCTGGCGGAGCGGCTAAACCAAAACAGCAAAGCTGACCTTGGTCTTTCCTGGCCCAACTGACACATTCTGTACCCATTTTCCCGCCAAATTCCCCTCAATGACATGAATTACTTTTTAAAATCAGAAAATTTTTTTTTCAGTTTTTATATCTAGAAAGTTACTATTCGCTGCATTACTACAGTTCACAGTGGGAGACTACAACAGACGACAGCGAGGAACTCTAATTTCCCCAGACTCGTATAGAAGCAGTGATGCGCATGATCTAAAAACTGATTCTGGAATGAACATAATTCATTTCTTTTTAAAACTGTGAAGCAGACATTTGCTCTCACTGGCCCCAGCCCACCTATTCGGTACGCACTTCCTTCTCCTGCAACGTCCCACTGCCTACGTTGCACACCCTCCATCCCCAGGCACCACAGAGGAATACGTGTAATACTTTGCTGGTCTTTTCCTCTTGGCAAATCTATTCCAAGGAATAAAATCCGAGTGAAATTCAGTCACACTAAGATGAAACTGACAGATAACAGCCTGGAGTGCACACCAGGGATTTCTGCACAAGAGATATGTTCTCTCTTTAGCAAACGTTTATCGAGTGTCTATTAGGCACCGGGAGCGCCTCTAGGTCTGGGAATACCACAGCGAATAAGAGAGCTGTGGTCCGTCTTCCTCTCATGTTTTTCTGCTTGCTGCAGAGATGAGTGCACACCACCATGGCTCCGTAGTGAGAAGTGCTGTGAGAGAACAGTGTGATGGGGAATGACTGGGGGGGAGTCGACGGTGGGAAAACCTCTGAAGAAATGTCACCTGAGCCGAGACTCGCACGATGAGGAGCAGCTGTCATGGGAAAGTCTGGCGGTCTCGGGCCAAAGGGAATGAAAGGCACGGGCACGAGGGTGGACAGAGGGGGCTTAGTGATGGGAGAGGCAGCAGCCAGACTCTGTAGGGCCTCAAAGGCCAGGGCGACGCTTGGGTTTATCCACATGCCTTTGGAGGCTGTGAAGCAAAGAGTGATATGAAGTGAGTTGTTCATTAACACAATCACTGGTTTCCCTGTGGGAACTGGATTATGGCAGGGTGAGGGTGTGGGCAGGAGCCACGTGGGATTGTTGGCGAGGTCCAAGCAAGACGTGGCGGGTGGATCAGGCTGGTGACGGTGGAAATGAAGAGAAATGAATGGGCATTCATTCTCAAAGCCTGTATTGCTCAGGGTTTCTGTCCTTTCCTCATTTCAGTTGAAATGGATGTTTTTATGGCATATAAACTAATTTACCTATTGACTTATTCAAAATATAGTAAAAGCTGGTTAGCCAGCATTTATTGGAGCTTACCACTGAACAGGAAATTCAGCGTTCAGAATGATAATTGTTATGGTTGGAGTCCTCTGGTCATTGTTAAAACCTAAAATGCCTTTTTAGAATATTGCAATATTAAATGGTATTCAACTGTTTATAATGTTCAAATGCTATAAAACTAATTACCTATGTATTGTATACTTTCATTAGAATTTTTCACTAATCAGAATATTCTGTTCCCCAACTAACCAGTTAATTATGTCCAATGTGGAAGCAATTTTCAGAGTATGCATATCACTGCTTCCTTAAGAGTTTGAAGAAATGAGTTTACAGAAGGACAGGAAGTAAAAACAACAAATGTTAACCGTGGTTATTTATGGATGGTGGGATTATGGTGATTTCTTTCTTCCGTCTCCCTTTCTGTATTTTCCAAATTCCCCACAATGACATGAATTACTTTTAAAGTCATAAAAGTTTTGTTTTTAAAAAAAGTTTATTTAGAAAGTCATTACTCTCGATGTTACTGCAGGTCATGGTGGGAAACAACAACAAATGACATAGCTAGATGCCATGATTTAATTTTTTTTCCTTTTAAAAAACAGATTTACCGGAAGCTTCCAGGGTTTTTACGCACGCTTATGGATGCCCTGAGAAAAGACAAAATAGTCTTCCCTAATGATGAAAAGTAAGCCGCTGATGAAAAGATATCCCTCATTACTGTATCTGTGGGATTCTGGGTAGCATTCCTGTGATTACCGGATGGGTAGATGAGAAGTCGCAGATGGGGACAGGATTTGGGGCATAGCATCTACAGATTTTTAGTATTTGATATTTTCCTCAGGGCTGATTTGATGACTTCACCAATTCAGTACTTTCTCTGACGTCATAAAAGGAGTTGTAGATTTAGGGTCTATCAGGATCTTCTAAAGGTCATCTAGGATCTAGCCTAGCATTCCTCAGGGTACTCCTGGCTTCTAGGCCTTATTTCCCATGGAACCACAACCATCCACCATCCAGCCTACTGACCCAACAGCAAGTCCAGTGACTAGACTTTGCCAAGTCAGCCTTTCACAGCTGGAGAATTTGAGTGCCTCCAAGAGGCAGTCGTTAACAATATTGTTTCTATTTCAACACACTGGAGGGATCTGACATTGTCAGGAGTAGCAGCGAGTCCCTGTGGCGGGGGTGGATGGGTGTCAGAATTCGGGGGTGGGGGGGCAGGGAAGTATTGTTTGAGACAGTTATGAGAGTGGGAACAAGTCGTTCCTAATACCATCGCCTTTCTGAAATACCAAACGAGGGGGCTGACCAGGAAGCTAACGAAACCTCTCAACTGCATGTCCATCCTGCACATTTATGGTGACAAGTCAATAAACTGCTACAAAGAGTTCTCTTTAGTCCTTTGGGTTTTGAGTTATTTTGTTTTCTTTTATAGTATTTTTTAAAAAAGATTGGCACCTGAGCTAACATCTGTTGCCAATCTTCTTTTTATTTTCTTCTTCTCCCCAAAGCCCCCCAGTACATAGTTGTATCTTCTAGTTGTAGGTCCTTCTGGTTCTGCTATGTGGGACGCTGCCTCAGCATGGCCGGATGAGCGGTGCCATGTGCGCACCCAGGATCAAAACCAGTGAAACCCTGGGTCACTGAAGGGGAGTGTGCGAACTTGGCCACAGGCCGGCCCCTCTTTTATAGTTTTTTAATTAAAATCTTCTGGATATTATGAAATAAGTTGGAATAAGGAAAAAGATGAGGTTCCTTTAACTCTGTACAAATTCAGTGTTTCAGTGTTTCCTTCATTATTTTCAAAAATCACACAGAAATAAATTACTTAAATACCTAATTAAATAAGTAAACAGAAGAGAGAGAACCTTGCCTGGAGGGAAAAAAGTTACTATATGAAGTCTATTATATACCGAGTTGTTCTTCCTGGGAGGGAAGGAGGGAGAGTTCTTGTGTTTTGAGCAAACCTCAAGTTTTCCTAAAGCTCTAACTCAGAAGAGGAGCACTCCCCACGTATCATTCTTGAACTGAATCCTTTTTCCACTTTCCCCCAGTGTTAAATTCCTGTCTTCTCCTCTTCTCATCCTTCACGGTGAGGATGACAGGACAGTGCCTTTGGAGATTGGAAAACAGGTAAACTGAAACTATACTTATTTCGCCATTTTCTCATCCAGCTAAACTTTGGTTAGGGCCTGATGGAGGGTCTCTGACATTACAAGGGGTTCCCTCCACCCTCAGCAGCCACGCTGCCTGCGTGTACAGTAAGCGTCGGTGTCCTGTGCTGCTCAGCTCAAAGGAGCGTCCGTGGTGGATCCTGGCCCTGCCTCTGGGGTCTGTGGATCTGCAGGCGCAGAGAGCCTCCAGGCTGCTGTGGGAACCTCCGTGCAGTCTCTCCTGTAGTGGCTCTGAGAATGCAGATGTGGTTTCTTTTCTTTTAAACAAACAGAATGGGTCCATCGCACTTCCTGTCCCCCTGCAGGGAGTGACGGCCGGGAAGGAGGGGTTCTCTCAGGAGTCTATGTCAGCTGTGCAGGTTTCAGTTCCCTGCTTGCAGAGGCAGCCAGCTGGGGACGTGAAGAGCTGCAGAGCTCTGACTTGGTGGGACTAACTCCCCAAGCTGGCTGTTTCTGTGCCCTTTTAGGAAAATTACTGGAAAACAAGAGCTTTGATTGTCAGACTTTGGTCTCTGTCTTTCTGCCCCTCGCAGCTCTACGAAATCGCACACAGTGCATACAGGAAGAAAGAGAGGGTCAAGATGGTGGTCTTTCCTCCTGGCTTCCACCACAACTTGCTTTGTGAAAGCCCCACACTGTTAAAAACCGTGAGGTAAGAGCTGCTTTGCTAACTGGGACAATTCGTCCCTTAAAGGCAGCCAGGGCCGCTCCGGCCCCTCAGCCTGGAGGCGGGAGCATGGGAGCTGACCCCGTCCTTTTTCTGCAGGGATTTCCTGAGCGAGCAGTGGGCCTGAGGTCTGAGAGCTGCGGAAATCTTCAGCGAAGACTTGGTCCAAACCCACCTGGGATGCGTCTGTTTATCTAAAACTGTACCAGGCTGCTTGGATGAGCTGAAGTCGTTGACATTTCTACAAGTTACCCGCCATTTTAGTAAGGGAAAGCACGGATGCCGGGCCGGACGGAACGTTCTCATTTAGCTTATCATGTCTACTCTGTGAAACCTCCCTCTGGAGAGTCGGAATCTGGTAAAAATTGGGTCCCACCTAAAAATGTGTAGTTACCAGACATCCCGGATCTTTGTGAATAAGGTGCCCTTTACTTTGGACTTAGCAGTGTAAGAAATGTAGTTAAATAGTTTGTATTTTAGTTTGGCAATTTAAGTGGCATTAAAGGTTCCAGGCAGTTTCTAGCTTTCTGAATAGGGCTGGGGAAAGTCTGAGCACGCTGCTCAAGCTGCTACAAAGTAAGAAGTTTGGGGGTCTCGAGGCCCTTGGAAATCGACACTTTATTTTTAGCCCTAATACAGTCATACGCTTCCCCCCAATTCCCAGAGATACTTAACTGGATTATCAGCCAATAAAACAAAATCAAAGAATGTTGTAAAAATGTTCAAGTCCAAAAACAGGCTAATTTTTTCTAGATTCGTTTTATGACTTACTTTCCACTGGCCTTATTCGCCCCACTGCTAGAGTCACTGGACAGGGAAATCTTTAGATCTGAGGGCTCCACGTTCCAGATGTCCCTGGCGTATTCTTTAATTGTTCGGTCACTGGAGAATTTCCCCGAGGCAGCTATGTTTTTGAGTACCATCGTGTTCCAGGCCTTTGGATTCTGTAAACAACACACCCACATATGGCCCAGGGTCTGGGGCCCACTGAGCTTTCTGACAAACATCAGGCCAAGCATATCCAAGCACATTTCATGGGAAAAAGACAGGAGTAAATCGCAGTGAATCATAAATACATTTGTTTCATCATTGAGAGCCAGATAAGGCAGAGTGTGCTTTTCTCCTACCTAGAGTATATTTCTCTTAAGAATGAAAAAAAAGTATTTTTCACTTTAAGAGAAACCACAGATGTAAAGTCTCTGGTAATTTCTGCCATGGCTACAGTGTTTTGGCATGCAAGCCATCTCTCCCACTGTTTCTTTTGCCTCCCTTTAAACTCCGGGGGAAGGAAAGGACTCACGCTCATTGTTTGTGGGATGCCACGTCCAGAGACTGAACCTGCGGCTCCGAGTCTGAGGAGCGCTACTCTAGACCGTGCGCTCTCACACAGGCACGAATCCAACGGGGTCTCACTGACCGCCTCTCTGCTGTTCTTTCTGAAGGTTGATGCCCCAGTAGGTTTACACTGAAGCCTAAATACTCCACTGGCGTTTCAAAACAGGAGGAATTAAGACCTTATCCTTAATAAAATGTATAATATCCAAATCCCACAATTTTTACGTAAAAGAATATAAGAAGCTGTTTTACAGCCCCATGATTTTGTAAAGAACTCTAAAAGTTCATTGGAAATGACCAGAACATGATTCAAAGCTATTAGCAACGCAGATAAGCATTTAAAAGAAAACCTGAAACTACCATCACTCCTTAAGGTACAGCAACAGAGAGTCTGAAATCAGTTTATTCAGACTTTGGAAACCTACTAAAAGAAGAGAGTAAAAGCTCCCTGTCTTCACTTTCTTTAACTATTTAAAGGATAATGAATACAGTTCCCAGCCACGTGGGATACGTTCTGTAAGCCTGAGAAGACGATGATTGTCGAGCGTAAAAACTGCAGTTTGCACTAATGAACAAGAAAGATCGGACCAAGTGCTGGCCTTCCAGCTGGGCGTCTGGATTTGGGCCATAACGTCACAGGAGCGACCTGTTGTGCAGCCTGACCTTCACATTTGTCCTTGCCCTCGCTCTTATTTTCCTTTCCTGCTCCCTTTTGTTTCTATTCTTTTCCCCCGTAGGCTTTCTTCGGACAAGCATGTGTTGAGATCAGGAGGAAAGAGCTAGAGGGCACCATTTTCTGTCCTGACTCTGAGTTCTTGAGGCCACATGTGGCTGCTCTCTTGTGCTCAGGAAGCAGGCAGGGAGCCACTCAGCTTACCTCTGTGCTGCCCCTCCTTGCTTATGGCCATGAACTTGAACTGACTGGTCTACACACTTCTGGGGACGGGACATAAGTCTACCAGAAGATAAGAGCCGTAAAGCAGCACAGGCCTTGAGTGATCCTATTTTAAAAGCCCAATGGGATGTCTGGGATGACTGTAGGAGCCACCTGTCGCCTGCTGTGGGAAAGGAATGGAGAGAAATGGTAGTGAAGCGTGCTCCTGTTGGAAGTAGTGACTGGTGTGCCCAGAGGGCAGGAGGTGGAGATTGTGGGGACCCTGGTGTTCTGCTGTCTAGTGGCTTTCTAGTTGGAAGACAGAAGGGGAGCTGTGCCCAGAGGCTCATAGGCATCGACCGCAAGCACCCCCGTCATGAGTCTTGGCACGAGCCGCCTCCTCCTGCATCTGCTCTTCTGTGCTGCCTGCAGTTACTAAGTCTTTCCTATGAGAGAGGATCAACCTTTCCATATACTCACCAAATGCTCCTGGAGGGCTGGGCTAGTTCATAAAGATGTTGCATGTAAAGGGTTGCTCACACAGCTCTCGCTTTTTTTTAAAGATTGGCCCTGAGCTAACATCTGTTGCCCTTCTTCTTTTTTTTCTTCTTCTTCTTCTTCTCCTCCCCAAAGCACCCCCAGTGCATAGTTGTATATTCTAGTTACAGATCCTTTTGGTTGTGGCATGTGGAATGCCGCCTCAGCATGGCTTAACGAGCTGTGCCATGTCTGCACGCAGGATCCAAACTGGCAAAACCCTGGGCCGCAGAGGTGGAGTGTGCGAACTCAACCACGGGGCAATGGGGCCAGCCCCGCTTTCTTTTTTTTAAATTCAAATACGAAACCTTCCCTCTTTCTGTGCATTCATATTCTATTCATATGGCCCCACCCTATGGGCAACCCAGGAGAGGGACCTGTTTTGCAATGTTCAAAGAACAGGGGTTAGTCCTCATCTCAGTGAACGGAGACTCAGCCTGTGAGCCATCTCAGCAGGCTTTTCAAACACTGATGGGACCCCACCGACTATTGGGTCAGAATCTCTCAGAAGGGGGCTGGCATCATACTTTGAAAAAGCTGCCCTGGGGTTCTGATGCACACTTCTGTTAAAGACCCCGGCACTAACCAGGCTCCTTGAGAGGAGGGGCTGCCGGGGGGCCCCGACTTTGTCCTGCTGGGGTCTTGGTGCCCAGCACAGTGCCTGCCAAGAAGGCCCCAAGCCTCTCTGTGGAATGAATGAGTGGGTGAAATGGTATTTAATTTGGCTTTATACCCTTAGCTTCCAGGACATGCCTGCTACATGGTGGGTACTCAATAAATATTGAATTATTTGAGATCTTTTACTTAGATAGTAAAAAACTTACAAGTGCTACTGAAATGTCAAATCTCAACCTCTGCCTGAACTTGGGAAAAGTCAAATTTTGATCTTAATAACCTAGACAGTTGCCTCACTTGTCTTTTCTGATTTGTTAATGGGGTCCTGTTATACAGATTTAATAAAAAGACACAGAAATTTTAATTAACCATAGTAAACTGTTTCCTTTCTAAGTCTCGGCAGTGCACTCACCATGTACAGCTGGCTGACTTTTTCTTGACACTTGACGTAGGCTTCATAGTCTGCAAAGACTTTAAACCTGTTTTTTTGTGATTGGAAGGAAAAAAGAAGACAACAAAAAGCCTCATTAACAGATGTGTGCTAAGACTCCATTTAAAATCTCTTTTGCTTAATGTCAGGCTAGTTTATGTAATGGCTAGCTTACCAAACTTACATTTCTATTTACAAGAATTTTACCCAGCCCTCAACCTTTCCATGGTTCTTCCCACATGTCAGAATGTCATCCTACGGATGCATCTGAAAGCTGGGCGCACCACGGAAAGAGGAGGAGAATACCAGACTGTGGGTCTTACTCGCAAGCCTTCCTGGCATTACTAGTGGAGAAGGTCTAATTTTTCTTTCCAGGCGTAGGTTAGCTTATCAGAATTACAGATCTATGCTAATCCACGCGGAGGGATTGTAGCTGGTTTAAGATGTTCTCATCCCCTTTTCATGGCCCCAATATCACCGTGTTCTTGCAGGAACTCACCTGTCATGATAAAAGAGCATGTTGATTAAGTCTTTGAAGAGGTCAGGCTGCTTGGGAGAAAAGAAGCCATTGTCAATTTGATCAATGGCCAGCCTCAGCTCCGGAAGTGCCTCGTAATATTCCTTTGCCTGATACCTGGGGGTCGGGTGGAGGTGGGGGTGATAAGAGGATGTTCTGTGAGTGTTGGTGATTAACAACACACCAGACATGACATTAACTGTGAAAAATGCATTCAGAAATACGAACATTTCTAGAAGTCATTATAGAGGTCAACATGGGTATAAATAATATTTGACGAGATCTTGACATTGTTTCCTCCCTAAATTTGTGTATTTCCTTGTGACTAAAGACACAAAGGACAGTAGAGAATAAAAATTCTAGTCACAGAGCAGCAGTGCCATCCGGTAAAATACAGTAAGATGCATTTCAGAGCAGACTTTACAGCTCTCAACAAGCGTTATGTTAAGTGGACCAGTTACTTTTTGGACCCACAGATTCCCAAATTTGTTGCTACTGAGTGGAAATTTATTTCCAAGGGTCAGGAAGTGCATTTGACCCCCTCCCACTTTTGTGATCCCCATAGTTCCTTCGGACAGTGCTCTTTCTCTATTTCCTGTTTGAATCTGGCTTAATAAACCTTTCAAGACATTAAGTGAAACAGCAAACATTGGGTGCTTCTAAACATCCATCCCCATCCTCCACCACATTTCAATCCATCTCCTTTAGATCTTAAAGGAACGCTAGGTGGTTTAAATTACAGGTAAAAACTTCAACTAGAAACTGGTTTATCCTTTGATCAAAGTAAAAATCACAGATGCAGAGGATGGAAGAGCTCACTGAGGCCAGCTCTGCTATGGCTGGTAACAAAGAGCAGCGACCCCCTGCACCTGTGCCTCTTACTGTACCCCCGGGGGGCCTGCCCAACAAGGAGGGGCTGCTCTCTCACCCTTTCTTGTCCAAAGCAGCCACATCAGCTACTCTCAT